TGGCCTGGAGGGGGGGAGAGGGTTGTGAGTGTGAGCCGTACCCATGCACAGCCGAGTTCCCCATGGTAAGGTTTTGTGTACATGAGTATGAATGAGCCAGCATGTGTGAGGATCTGTTGGGAGCGAGCGTGTGTGAAGAGATGTGTGAGTTAGTGTGCATGAGGGTGTGTGTGTGAAGAGGTGTGGGTCTGAGCCAGTGTGTATGAAGAGGTGTGTGAGCTAGTGTGTGAGAGAGGGTTTGTGTGAGCATGTCTGGGTGTGAACCAGCATGTGAGGATCTGTAGCAGAGAGCGTGCATGAGGAGGAATGTGTAAGGATCTGTGTGAGCGAATGTGTGTGAAAATGTGTGAGCGCTAGTGTGTGTGAGAGTTGGGTGTGTGTGCGAGGATGTTTGGTGTAACGCAGCGTGTGAGGATCTGTGTGATCGAGTGTGTGTGAAGATGTGTGTGAGTGAGCGTGCGTGAAGAGGTGTGTGAGCTAGTGTGCAAGTAAGAGGGTATGTGTGAGGATGTCTGGGTGTGAGCCAGTGTGTGAGGATCTGTGTCAGAAAGCGTGCATGAGGGGGAGTGTGTGAGGATCTGTGTAAGTGAATGTGCATGAAAATGTGTGAGAGCTAGTGTGTGTGAGGGGGTGTGTATGTGTGAGGATGTCTGGTGTGACCCAGCATGAGGGTCTGTGAGCGAGCGTGTGTGAAGGGGGTGAGTGAGCATGTCCAGGTGGGAGCTAATGTGTGTGGGGATGCCAAAGTGTGTCCATTTGTGTGCCAGAGCAGGGAGCCCATCTCTGCAGACCTGCGGGGGCTGCATGGCCCAGCAGTCACTGCCCCGAGCAGGTCTCTCTGACCTGGACTTCCCTGGCCTGCAGGAAGTGCCAAGGGGCCTGTGTCAGTGCCACAGGGAGGCAGGTTTGCAGGCTGCTGGCATCGTGCCCTCCTGGTTGCACATAGGGCCTTGTCATAGGGGCCGCCTGCCCCCCAGCCACCTCCCTGCTAACCAGCTCTTGGCCCATCTCTCTAGCTTTGACCAGGGGGAGCTGGAATGCGGGGGGGGAGGAGGGGAAGAGATGCAGCAGGGGCCTGGACCATCGTGCTCCATGACAGCCGGGGCTCCCGCAGCTCAGGCCAAGCTATTGGCTGCAGGGGCTCCATGGAGGGGACCCCAAAGCCCCATCTGATTCCTGACCCCATGGGATTCTCATGCCATCCGTCCCCCACCCCGCCCAGGGCTGCACCTCACCATGACGGAGCAGATGCTGGTGCCACGCAGGCTGTCCCCCCGCAGGCTGCCCGGCCGGCTGTCCCCCCGCAGGCTGCCCTGCCGGCTGTCCTCCCGCAGGTGCAGGGTTTCCTCTGTCTGAAACACAGGGGCGGAGAGAGAGAGGGTGAGAAATGCCTGGTCCTGGCAGTACAAAAGGGGCAGTTTTCCACAGCTCCTGAGCCCACAGCACTGAGCCAACAGGGCACAAGACCTCTCCCCCAGAGTGCTGCAGGGGTGGCTGGGCCAAGGCTGAGCGTCCCCATGTGCTGGGTCCTCAGGCCTACGGGATGGGTGAGCCATCGCTGCTGGGTGTATGTGGGGTAGACGCCATCCCCCCCGCCTCCCCATGACTCCCCACAGTGTCTTTGCAGCCAGGATACTTTTGTCTCCAGGCTAATATTGCTTGGGAGGGGTGGGGGGATTCAGTTTCAGATTTTGCTCTGGGCACCCGAAAACTTCTGTGCAGGCCCAGTCCCCAGTGATCCCCATGAGGCTGGGCAGCTGCCTCCCATGACCCCCTCCTCCCACCCCAGGACTGAGCTGTCCCATCTACCATCTCCTAAAACCCCCAAACTTCACTCATGTGTTTCCACATGCTCCCTGCAGAGGGCGCCAGGCTCTTTACTGAGCCACCTCCCCTGTGTCTCAGGGAGAAAATTCATCATCATAGCAGGGGAGGGGGGACTGACTATACCCTGTGGATGCCCCCCTCCCTCACCTGGTTCCGGGTGTTGCTGCCGTGGCTGGAGTAGAGGCGCCGGATGGAATTCTCCCTCGTTAGGGTCAGCTCCTCTTCGCTGCCAGGCAGAGAGACACCAGGGTGAGCAGTGATATCCGTGGTCTGGCTGAGCTGTTTGCTCTCATCAAACCCCATGGCTGGTCTGGTCCAGCTGCCTCAAGGGCTGCTCCTGAGACCTGCTCCCAGTCTCTTGAATCCCAGCTGGCAGAGGTTAGCATAATGATAAGGGAAGCCAGAGGCTTGATTCCCACCAGGAGCAGCCTGAGGCAGGATCCGGGTGCTAGCATTTGAGTGGCTGCACCAGGGGAGGGGCCAGTCAGGGGTGAGGAAAGAGAGGAGGCTTTCTGCATGGCCTGTCTAAGCAGGGCTCTTTGAGGGTCTCCTTCCTGCTGGAGCTCAGGGGGCCCAGGTCGCAGTCAGCACTTGCTGCATCTTCAGGCAGGGCGGGGGGCTGACTGGACCAGGGTAAAGCTGAGATCTGGGTCACCCCTGGGGTGAAGAGCAGTATTTCAACCTGCGCTAGGCTCAGTTGTGTGTCAAAGTGACTCCCAGGTGATGGCTGATGTGGTGCCGGAAATACAGCACGACCTTCGCCAGGCGCAGGTGGCTGTGGCTTTAATATGTCGCCTCCTACTGGCAGGGGTTAAAACTACAACTTCCTGGACTGCACCATAACTCACTGAGGGGGGATAGTTGGAATAACAGGGGGCGGGGACTGAGGGGCATCAGCAGAACTCAGAGGGACGAGGGGGGAGGTAAAGTTTGCTCAGCCGCTCTCTGCAGCTCACAGCAGTAGCCAGCAGCACCTGTCCCACACTGCCACTGGGCCTCCCATCCAACTCCTTTCTGCTGCTCGCCCAGCTCAGCTTGGGAGCTGGGCCCCCGGCCTGATGCTCCCTACCCAGTGAGAGGGCTGCACGCTGGGGGGGGGGCTTCTGCCATGGTATGTGCAGGGCCTCAGCTCTTCTCTATGGGGGTCCTGTGGATCCCACCAAGGGACTGCTTGGAGGCAAGGCAATGGGCAGGCAAGGGGTCAGGGTATCTTGTGGGGTGATCAGGGAGCTGCCTCCCCATTCCATAGAATCCTAGGGCTGGAAGAGAGCTCAGGAGGTATCTAGTCCAGCCCCTTGCTCAAAGCAGGACCAACCCCAATTAAATCATCCCAGCCAAGGCTTTGTCAAGCCAGGACTGAATAACCTCTAGGGATGGAGATTCCACCCCCTCCCTAGGTCACCCATCCCAGTGCTTCACCCCCCTCCTAGTGAAATAGCTTTTCCTAATATCCAACCATCTCTTACTATTTCTCGGCGATGCGCCTGGTTTTCCGTCGGTGGTAGAGGGTCATGACCACGATGACCAGGACCAGCAGGCAGAGCAATACGGCCGCGATGACGCCCACTGCAACCATCGAGGCCGAGACCACGTCCACCTTCTGCACCTCGGTCTCTGCCGGCAGGGACAGACAGGGAGAGGCTGAGCCAGCCACCATGGGAGCAGGGCACTTCCAGTGTCCAAGCAACGTGGCCAAGCTGGCAGGAACCCGGACTCCAGGGCTAAAGAGGCATCAGACTAGACAGATAGATAGGTACTTTGGACAGACAGATGGTTGGATAGCTGGACAGACAGAGGGACGATTGCTGGCTAGATGGATGTAGGGACAGGTAAATGGAGAGGTAGATGGACGGATGGATGGATGGACAGACAGATGGTTGGAGAGCTGGACAGACAGAGGGATGAACAGATGGATGGGTGGCTAGATGGATGTAGGGACAGGTGAATGGAGAGGTGGATGGATAGATGAATGGATGGACAGACGGAGAGACAGATGGACACCTGATGTTTAATTATCAGCCCCAGCTGGTGCTAGCTCTGAAGCCACTCTAAGGGTTCCCCAGCCACGCCCCCTAGTGCCACTTGGGGGCTCAGTACTCGGCGTGCTCCCTGTGGAATCGCCATGCTGGCCTCAGCAAGCTCTGGGCTCCCGGCCCCGGTGCTACGTAGCCCAAGCCCTGTCTCGCCTGGACTCTGGATTCCCTGGAGACTGAGCAGCACTGGGCCCTAGAGCTGGGTAGGGGGATGAGACAGGCAGATTCCCCCTGCAGCGCTCAGACCCTAGTGGGGGGAAGGTACCCTAACCCAAGGGGGTTGGATTTGGACCCACATGCCGAGGCCCCTCGGCGAGCCCAGGCCTAGCGCTCTGACTGTGTCAGCCATGGGTGGGCAGGCAGTGCAACTCACAGCCCCTACCCCAGCTGCCAGCTCCAGGCCCTGACTGTGACAGTCACACACTCACACCCAGATACACATCCAACAGGCCTAGTCTGTCTGTCCGTCTGCGTGTCTATCAGAGCCAAGCCCCCTCTGCTCCAAGGGGCCCTATCACCCCGCCAGCCCCAGACTCTACCTTTTATGCTGATGCTGGCCCGAACCTCCTTGGCCGCAAATGTGTTGGTGACCTGGCAGACATAGACGCCCGTGTCGTCAGGGGTGAGGGGTCTCTGGAAGAGGAGGGTGGCCCCCTTGACGTTCACTCCTTCGGGCATGGGGCCGTTGAGCCTGGAGAGCAAAGGGGCAGGGTCAGCCAAGGAGCATAGGGGGAAGGGCAAGGGTCCCAGCTAGATGGGAGGAGCTGCTAAGGGGGCCCAATGGGACAGGTTGAGAGCCCCTGGATTATAGAGAAACACGGAGACAGACAGATGCACAGACACAGTGAGACACATGGACAGACTGAGAGCAACACAGAGAATTTCTCCCTCCCCACAGCACTTGCAACCCCTCCCAGCTCAGTATCATTTGAAAACTTAATAATTGTACTCTCTATGCCAGTATCTAAATCGTTGAAGAAGATATTGAATAAAACCGGTCCCAAAACAGACTCCTGCGTAACCGCACTTATTATGTCCTTCCGGGGCAAGCCACGACACCCTGAACAATAGGTGCTGAAATCAAAGGGCTCCCTGCCTTTTCCCACGGTTCCCATGCAGCTGATCTGCTGCCGGAGCCCAGTGCCGAGGCCTGCCCAGACACGGCCCGAAACACCACGCTGCTCCTTGCGTCACCGCAACGGGGCTGAATCGGCAGGACCCGGGCTACCGGCTCCATCCCACACGCAAACACACAGACACATATGCCCGTGAACAGAGGGACACAAACCCATGCGCAAATGTATGCACACCAGTGCCTCAACTCAAGCACACGTACGATCGACACATGTTCAAACAGACCCCCCCCCCACACATTTTCACACACATACATTCACAAACGTGCACAAATATAAAAATACATCCACTTCCAGCCGCACAACCAGACATCAAAAACAAACATGTTTGTATAAAACATTACATCCACAGACTCATCTGTAAACACACATACACAAAGACAGGTACATACAAACCCAAGTATGCACATGCACACACAAACACACACAAACCCAGGTACATACAAACCCAGGTATGTGCGTGCACACACAAACACAAACACACAAACCTAGTTACACACATACAAACAAACCCAGGTACAAACACACACACTCACAGAATTAGGCACACTAACACAGCAGATACACACACAAACCAGGTAACACACACACATACAAACCCGGGTAACACACACACACATACCCAGGTAACACATAAACCCAGGTAACACACACACACACACACACACACACACACTTGGGTAACACACACAAACCCATACAATCCCAGGTTACACGCACACACAAACCCAGGTACATGCACATGGGTACACATAAGAATGATCACACTCATACACACTCTGGCTATGTCTAGACTGCAGGCTTCTTTCGAAAGCATCTTTCGAAAGAGCCTCTTTCGAAAGATCGCGTCTAGACAGCAGGCGGATCTTTCGATAGAGGAAATCCGCTTTTTCGAAAGAGAGCACCCAGCGAGTCTGGATGCTCTCTTTCGAAGACGGCCTCTTTACATTGAAGAACGCCTTCCTTCGAAAGAGGAACTTTCGAAAGAAGGCGTTCTTCCTCGTGAAACGAGGTTTACCGCCATCGAAAGAAAAGCCGCGTTCTTTCGAAATAATTTCGAAAGAACGCGGCTTGAGTCTGGACGCAGGGGAAGTTCTTTCGAAAAAAGGCTACTTTTTTCGAAAGAACCCCTGAGTCTGGACACGGCCACAGACACATGAGCCCAGGTACACCTTAGAACAATCCCCTGATCACACACAGTCACTCTTGAGTGTGGGCCTGCACATGCTCCCAGACCCAAACACACGTGACCACACGTGGTGAGTCCATGGGGTGCCGTGCCACCCAAACAGATCCTTTCCCTTTGCCCTCTGCAGCCCTCGCTGGCCCTATTAACTCTTTAGTTGCTGCTCTGCTGGGAAGCACGTATCCCTTTGGCCCCATTTCAGGCCTACCCTGAAGTTGGGGGCTTGGGGCCCACAAGGCCAGGTGCAGAGGTTCAAGTCTTAGACCCCCAGGAGGTTGGCCCCTTGGCCACCCCCCCAGCTCAGGAAGTCCCCAGGGATGCCTGTGGAGCCCTGCAGCTTCTGGGAAGGGAAAGGAAAAGGGGAGGGGGGGGGTTATCCAGAGCCCCAAAGTGTTTCATGCCTGGCTGTTGGGGACACATGGGGAGAATCTAGCACACCCAAAGGCTGACCCAGGCCAGTGTCCCATGGCATCCCAATCAAAAGCTCTCTCCTAGCAGGGCATGGCCAGGTCTCCTTCAGGGCAGAGCCGGAGGGAGCCTTGCTATGTAGGGTTGCCAGGGTCCGGTATTCTACCAGACAGTCGGGTATTTGCGCTCTTTGTCTAGTAAAAAAAATCAGAGAACACCAAACATGTGCAATGTCCGGTATTCTCTGATTTTTCCGGCTGCGCACCGGACGGAAGCCTGGTGGGGGCGGAGGAAGCGGCTGCTGGAAGGCGGGCCCATGATCAGCGCTAGGAGCCTGTGTCTCCCCTGCCCCCACCAGGCTTCTGCGCAATCAGTCTCCCAGTGCCGATCGTGGCCCCGCCTCCCAGCTGACACTCCCAGGCTGGGAGGTGGGGCCACGATCACCACTCCTGGCGCATCAGAAGCCTAGAGGGGGCGGGGGGAGTGGTTGGGATTTTTTTTTTTTTGATTGACCAAAATACCGCATGTCTGGTATTTTGGGGGGACCATCTGGCGATCCTACTTGCTAGCCCCACACTCCCTTCTACTGCCCCTTTGCCTCTCCGCTGGGCAGGTGCATTTGGCCCCGGGGCTGCCTCCTGTGACCAACAGCATGCCCCAGAAGGCCCAAGACAACTCAGATGGCTGGGAGATGACTCAATGTTTATGGAGCATTGAGCCTCATTTGGAAAGGCTCCATGGGTGCTTTGCACTCCAGCTTCCCGGATTCCTATGCCCTGGATCATGAGTATTGTTGGCTGGGAACACAGCCGCCCGTCTGGGAATGCAAGCAAGTGGAGACCCAGTCTCGTCTGGCAGAGGAGAGGGCAATCAGGGAGAGGATATGGGATGTTAAAGGTAGATTCATTAACTAATTGAATAGTCGATGGGATTTCCATCAACTGTTCAATTAGTCTATAAGGGCACCTTCACCTTTTATACAGTTCAGAAGCGGAAGCCCTGCAGGGAGTGTGGGGCCAGCGGGGACTCACCCACTAGTCCTGCGCTACCTGCAGCATCTGAGCCTTTGGGCCTGGCAGGGCTCTTGTACATTTCAAAAGGAAGCCCCAAACATGGGGTGGGGTGCGAGTCCCCTGCAGGCCCCCTTACTCCCCGTGGGGCTCTTGTACATTTCAAAAGCAGAATGGCAGCAGAAGTGGAGACTGCTACAGTCCCTGCTCATGCTGTTTCCCACTGTGCCTCTACCTCCTCTGCCTCCCCGCAGGGACAGTGCTGGGGAGAACCAGCTTTTAAGCCGGCTCCCCTAGCACCAGCTCCTGCTCCTTCCCCTCCCACCGCTGCCTATATCAGCAGCAAGGAAGTGACTAGTCGCATCACTAGTTGACTAGCTTCTGCTTATCGGATAGTCGACTAGTCTCCCACATACCTAGAGAAGATGGAGGTAAAATTGATTTTGCGGGCTGGAGTGAGAGGGGAAGCTCACAGCCTTAGAGTCCCCGCTGTTAGGGGCTCGCCCATGTGAAATCGAGGCTGGAACAAGCAGCCCCTTCAGGCCCTGGCAAACTTGAAACACCTCAGCTGGGGACTAATGGACTGAAATGCAGAATGTGTCACCCTACTAGAGACTGCTCAGAGCAGGTCAGACAAGCCCCTGTTGGGGATGGCCAGAAAGATCACACGGATCCTCCCATGTGTGCAGGGGACTGGACCAGGTGACCTCGCGAGGGCCCTTCCAGTTCTGTGAGTCTAGGTCACCAGCTCGCTGGTTCGGAGGCACCGGGAACAAAGACAGGCCTGTGAGCACCCACTCGCTGCAGGATTCCAGCCTGGAACCTCCACACCAGCTGTTGCCTCCTGAGCAGCAGGAGTAACTCTGCTCAGAGCTGGCGAGAGCAGGCTCTTCGGTGGGTCACATCAGTGTCTTCTATTTCCTCATGCCCATATTCCAGCTGGAGGCGGGTGGGCACCCCCTTGGAGTCTGCAGCCAGGGGACTCCAGATGGATAAAGACACACCGGCCAGTCTTTCTCTGCCCCGGGAGCGGCGCTGGGAAGGGGAGCCCTGCCAGCACGCAGGGGGCTAACACTTACCGGGTCCAGTTGTAGGTGGGCAGAGGGTTGCCCTCGCCAAGGCACTTGAGCGAGGCACCTTCCTTGCCCACGTGCCAGTCCTCCTCCTCCTCGTGCCCTCGCACAGAGGCTGGATAAAGACACACCGGCCAGTCTTTCTCTGCCCCGGGAGCGGCGCTGGGAAGGGGAGCCCTGCCAGCACGCAGGGGGCTAACACTTACCGGGTCCAGTTGTAGGTGGGCAGAGGGTTGCCCTCGCCAAGGCACTTGAGCGAGGCACCTTCCTTGCCCACGTGCCAGTCCTCCTCCTCCTCGTGCCCTCGCACAGAGGCGTCCGAGAGATCTGGACAGGGGAGGGTGACAACAGTGAGTGGGGGCGAGAGAGAAACGCCCGACGCTGGGCACCGGGGTCCTCCCTTCATCCCCCAGTTTGTGCCCTTCCCATCAGTGACTCCACCCCCACATCTGTCTGTGCAAATGTGCCCCCTGCCCCAAGCCCCCCCAACTAACCTGCTGGGGCCCCACATGATCTAGGGTTCCCCATTTGCCCTTCCCCAAAGTGGGTATACACCCCCTTGCTCTAATGGGCAGGTTCTCCCAGGGGGTCTATGATTTCCTTCCCCCATGGATGTTCCCCTTGGGGATCTGTGCCCCCCACATTGCCCATAGCGCCCTCCCCGGGAGTGTCTGTCTCCCATAGTAGCTTCCCAAGGCGTCTGTACCCCCATGACAACTGTCAGGGTGTTTCTGCCCCTACCCTATGCCAGCTCCCTAGGGAGCCACTACTTCATGGTACCCCCCAGGGCTCTCTGCCCCCCACGCGGCCTGCTGGGGTGGGACGTACAGGCGACACTCAGCACGTGGGTGATTCTCTTCTCGTGCTGCAGCCCCGGGTGGCTGACGACGCAGGTGAGCGTCTGGCCGTTCATGCTGCGCCCGGGCACCAGGAAGAATTCGCTGGTGACGGAGGCCGAGCGGGGATGCGAGGAGTGTCTCCCAAGTCACCGTGGGCATGGGGTTGCCCTCGGCTGTACAGGAGGCAGCCAGCGTCCTCCCCTGCCCTTCTTCCAGTGGGGGGCTGGGGTTCAGGGTGGGCAGTGGGGGCACTGGGGGGAGAAAGCAGAGCGGTGAAGGGGGTGGAAAGAGCAGCACCCTCCTGGGATCCAATCTGCCCCTCCCAGAGTCTCCTGGGGTCCCACACAACCTGGCTACTGCCCCCACCCCTGGGGCCCCAAACAGTCGGGAATTTGCATCCTCCCAGGGTCTCCCGAGGGCCCACTCAGCCCGGAACTGGCACATCCCCACAGGTCCCCGTGTAGTCCAGCTACTGCCTCTTGCCCCCAACCCCTGCACAAACCAGCCACTGCCCCCCAGAGCCCCATGAAGCCCAGTAATTTCTAGCACAGGGCCCTATGCAGCCCAGCTACGGTCCCCCCCATGGAGCCCGACACAGTTGGGCTACTGCTCCCTCCCAGGACCCACTCCCAGCTCCAACTCCAGGGGGCCACTCGGGCCTGGCTCCTGCCCCCAAAATGGCTTCCCCCTACACTCGCTGAATAGGCCTCAATCCTTTGGGTCCCATTCCTGCGACACAGGCCTGGCCCAGACACCAAGAGTTCAGGTCCCCTGCAGGCTGGGTGCCTAATGGCCAGGGCACCCCCATGTCCCCGATCTCTGCAGTGGCTTGGGGGCAGGGTGGTCTAGTGGCCTGGAGCAGGGGAGGCAGCTCGCCCCTCAGCGGGCCCAGCAGAGCCAAGGGCACCTGGGGGGTGGAGCAAGGCAGCCCCAGTGCCCAGTGGACTCCGTGCCCGGACTCTCACCCAGCACGCTGAGCGTCATGCTGCCCTCGAAGTTGCCCGAGGGGAAGGTGATGAGGCGGCATTCGTAGGCTCCCTCGTCAGCCTGCACGGCGTTCTTCAGCACGATGGCGCCGTTCAGCGGGCCCAGCAGAGCCAAGGGCACCTGGGGGGTGGAGCAAGGCAGCCCCAGTGCCCAGTGGACTCCGTGCCCGGACTCTCACCCAGCACGCTGAGCGTCATGCTGCCCTCGAAGTTGCCCGAGGGGAAGGTGATGAGGCGGCATTCGTAGGCTCCCTCGTCAGCCTGCACGGCGTTCTTCAGCACGATGGCGCCGTCCTCCAGCGGCCCCGGTGCCCGCCGCAGCACCCGCCCCGCGTAGGGCTCCTGGACGTGCTCCCCGTACTCCGAGTGCAGCACGGCCATCTCCACGTTCTGCCCGCCGGCGCCCTGCTTCAGCCACGTCACCTGCACCACCTTCTCGCCCTCCTGCTCCAGGGGACAGGTTAACTCACAGCCCCCAGGCAGGGAAGACCTGCCTCTCCCGCCTACAGACACAACCTCTGTGCTGGGATCAAAGGGTATGTCTAGACAACATGCCTCTGCCGACAGAGGCGTGTAAAATAGGCTACCCGACGTAGTCAAAGAAGCCGGGATTTAAATATCCCCGGCTTCATTAAAATAAACATGGCCGCCACGCTGTGCCGGCTCAGCTGATCGTCGGCACAGTCAAGACGCAGCGGCTGCATTAAAATAACCATGCCCGCCACGCTGTGCCGGCTCAGCTGATCGTCGGCCCAGTGCGCGAGGCAAAACGCGGCTCGGTCGACAGGGGAAGCCTTTGTTGACCGCTTCCTTATGCCTCATGAAAGGAGGTTTACAGGAGCGGCCGACAAAGGCTTCCCCCGGCGACCCACACGCGGCT